AGGAGGCTAGAAGTCTGAATTCAGGGTACCAGATCTAGGGGAAGGCTTTCTCTCTCTGTCAGCTCTGGTGGAAGGTCCTTGTCTCTTCAGCTTCCATTTCCTGGCTCCTTAGAGACTCCAAGTGGCTTGGCATCCATCTTCCCCCATCTATGCTTCACTCACTTGCTTATTCAAGCTCCCTCATTTCTCAAAAGAGATTGACTCAAGACACCCTACATTAATCCTGCCTCATTAACATAACAAAGACAACCCATTCCCATATGGGATTATAACCACAGACATAGAGGTGAGGATTTACAACACACATTTTTGGGGGACACAATTCAATCCGTAACATTCCACCCTTTGGGCTCCCAAAATTCATGCCCTTGCCACATGTAAAACATATTCACCCCATCACATCATCCCAAAAGTCTTCAATCAACTCCAGGTCCAAAATCCCACCTTCTGAGTCATCTAGATCAAATATGGGTGAGACTTTAGGTGTATTCCCTCCTGGGGCAAAACTACTCTTCATCTGTGAACCTGTGGAATCTAGATTTCAAATTATCTGTTTCCAAAGTACAATGGTGGGACAGGCACAAAGTAAACATTTCCATTACAACTAGGAGAAATTGGAGGGAAAGAAGGGATAACAGGCACCAAGCAAGTCCAAAACCCAGCAGAATATATTACGTTAACTCTCAAGACTTGAAAATAATCCTCTGTTCTCTGAGACCATCTCGTCAACGGCCCTGCTCTCCAGACTCTAGGTGTTGGCCACACACTCTGTACTCTGGGTAGAGGCCCCTTGGTCCTGGACTTCAGCTTCACCTTCCAGGCCCATTGGGATGGTAACTCTGCTTCCGTGGCTTTGGGTGGTTCCATTCTCCTAGTCCATCTGAGTGGAAACTCCACCCAGTCAGCCTCAGAAAGCCCTGTTCTTCTGCCCCTTGTGCATGGCAGCCCTGTCCCCTCACCTATGAGCAGCAGCTCCATCCCCCTGGCACTCGTGAACAGCAGCAGCCCCACACTCAGGAACCAACTTGTTATAGATCTGTCTCTTTGAAACCTAGGAAGCCATGGCCCCACCCTTTGAAACCCAGTAAGCTGTGGTTCCACCCTTTGAAACTGAGGCAGCCCTGCTTCCCATGCTCTTTCCAACAGTTCTCCTGATCTCTGAGTTGCTCCACGGATGGTCCTTTTCTTTTCTTGGAGGACAATGGATGTAGCTCCTTTGGCCTGTTTCCTACCTGTAGAATTCCAAGAGGCAGACAGTTCTCTCCTTTTGTTCTTTCTCTGTCCCCTTCAGTCTAAGCCAATGGGTTTTCTGCTGTGGTAGTTGGTTAGCTCCATCAGTCACAGGCTTAATCTCTTTAACAAAAGATTGTGTAGTCACATCCTTGGTGAAAATTCTAGGACACATCTCGTTAGTTTGTCCAACAGAATTTTTCAAATTGTTAAGTTCTGTTTTCATTTTTCACAGTTCATTTTTAAGTCCATCTCTTTCCTCTTGCATTTTACTGTAAGTGGCAAGGAGAAACCATGTGGCCCCTTTAAGATCGTGCTTTGAAATCTCATCAGCCAGATACCCAAGTTCATCGCTTACAAGTTCTACCTCCCACCAAATATTTGAGCATAATTCAGACAAGCTCTTTGCCACTGTATAAAAAGCATCGCCCTTCCTCTATTGTCCAATCACATGTTCATCATTTTCTTTTCAAGCCTCACCAAAAACACATTTAACGTCCACATTTCTAGCAACATTCTGTTGCTCTTGCCATATGTATTCTCTAAGACAACAGAGATTTTCTCTTAGCTCTCCTCACTTCCTTCTGAACATTCACCCGAATTGCCTTTGATGTCCATAATTTTACCAACAGTCTCTTCAAGGCAATCTAGGCTTTACTATCAGTCACCTTAGAATTTTTCTAACCTCCACCCATTACCCAATTCCAAAACCACTTCCACATTGTAGGTATTTGTTAGAGCAGCACCCTACTCCCAGTACCAAATTCTGTTTTAGTTATCTAGTGCTGTTATAGCAGAAATACAAGTGGATGGCTCTAACAAACAAATTTATTTTCTCACAATATAGGAGTCTAGAAGTCTGAATTCAGGGTGCCAGCTCTAGTGGACGGCTTTCGCTCTCTGTCAGCTCTGGGGAAAGGTCTTTGTCTCTTCAGTTTCTGTTTCCTGGTTCCCTGGAGATCTCCATGTGGCTTGGCATCAATCTTCCCCCATCTTTGCTTCTCTTGCTTGCTTGTTTAATCTCTTTTATATCTCAAAAGAGATTGACACAAGACACACCCTACACTAATCCTGCCTCATTAACGTAACAAAGACAACCTATTCGCAAATGGAATTATAACCACAGGCATAGAGGTTAGGATTTACAACACATATTTTAGAGAGACACAGTTCAGTCCATAACAGGTTCCTCTCCATCTCTTTGCCTCTTCAGACTTAGCTTAGCCAAGGCTCCCTGCTGGTACTGGCCCAAGGGTTCTTCACTGTCCCTTACAGCTCCCTCACACATGCTCACATATGTGTAAATAGTCTCTTCATTAAACTCTCCTCAAATTACCTAACTGGAGTGTGAATGTGATCTGCTTCCTGCCTGGACCCTACTTTTACATGCCACAGAACTCTGAATGGAAACAATGCACAGCTCTGTCACAGTCAGTAACACGGCAGCCTGCAGTGCTACCCTAAGCATTAAAGGAACTGAGTGGCTGCATCACAAACGCTCTTATCAGACAGTCATTAAATGCCACACGCACTTAACCAAATACACACTCAAGGCTCAAGGGAAAATCCTTTCAAATATTTACTTTATTGTTGATTTAAAAAGCAGAAATTGAAACCACAAACACTCTTTAACTATGAACACGCCCTAACAACCCCAAAGGTCTAAACCACCAGTTGAGGAAGAAAAAAAAAAAAAAAAAGCTTTACTAAGTGATTATTTTTCACTCTTATCCCAATCAGTAAACAATTGAACAATGTGTATGTGTACATGTGTGTGTACGTATGCAGGGGTGTGGTTTAGATGTCTCTGGATATGTCAGAATGTACAATCCTACTGATGAAACTTACGTACTGCACCGAAGTTTGGAGTGAATTTTCAAATCTGAATGTACTAAATGTGTAAATGGATACAGGGCCACTGGCTTTCTTGTGGTGCAGGCAGGCTAGAAGTCAGAATCCAAAGGATGGTTATTTATTATCTGGCAGAATCCAAAGGATGATTATTTATTATCTGGCAAGTGTGTGTTATTATCTAACACCACCTTATCCCATAATTGCTTGAGTCTCGGAGAATTCAGGAGTCACTGGATTATAAACCCAGGAGATTATAGGAATGTTCTGGGAAGAGCTGGGGCCACTGACTTCCCTGCCAATACTGTGGTGTGCTGAGAGCCATGGGCATTCAAGATGGCAGCCTGAGAACACTGGGCAAGAAAGGGGACATGGCCAGAGCAACCCGGGGTGCAGGGAGCCCAGCTCTCTCCATTCAGTTAACCCTGCCAAGAGAAGACCAGTCTGGAAAAGAGAGTGCAGTATGATACTAGGGAATACCTGCCACAAAATACGTGTCTGTTGATTTTCTTTTAATAAAATTCCACCAACTCCATTATGGATTGAAAGTTGTTGAGGTGATGCCAGCTAGCACGCTGTCTGGTAAAGACATTCTTTCAAAGTGAAGAACACTTCCTGCTCTGAACATCTCTGACCCCAAAATGGTTGTGTCTGTCTGTCTGTCTGTCTCTCCCTTGTCTCTCTTACACACACACACACACACACACACGCACACAAACACAAGCATCCTTATGGGAAAGTTGTAGGTCTTCTACACTCCATTAAGAGAAAATCCACAATCCCAAAGCAGCACTACAAATGGAAGAAAGAGCTAGATGAAATCAGTGAAGAAGGGTCATGAGAGAGGAGAGGCCTGACCTCCTTTTTCCAGCCATGGAAAATGGCCGGTAAGACTCTCTCCCCACACCCCCTTCTTCTTTTTCTTCTTTCCTCCTCCCCCTTTCAACCCATTCCATCTATCCTCTTGAAGGACCAGGAAGGAACCAACGGAGAGGCACTGGGTTGAACTGGAGGAGATAATACTTGTTATACTGGAGAACCTGCCCTTGAGGCTAAGGTGCATGACCTTCCAGAGAAGAACTGGCTAACCCACGGCTGTAGCATGACATTTGCTTCCCAAGCACTAGGCAAAACAGCAAAATCAAAGAAACTTTTTTCAAGCTGTCACTCACTGTCAACATCTCTGCCTCAGGCATTCAACTCCTCCCGGCGTCCCTCTATTGTCATAAATGCCATAGTGGCCGTCTACCTTACGTCTGACTAGAGCAGTCAAGTGAATAAATCAACAAATTAACAAGTATTAAAGGACGAATATACTCTTTGCAAATATCTTACTCTCCACCAACCAAAATGCCCCCTTCCTCATGCCTTTACTATTGATGTCATTTCAAAAAACCTTATGTAGATCTTTGCAGGTTGATAAAACCCAAACCTGCTGGGGTCCATCACACAAGGAGTCTACGAAGTTTAACAGCATGCAGCCATAACCCCACCTCCGTTCTGCAAGTGGCATTCGGTCCTCCCATACTAAGGGAGACGGCTGAAACAAGTAACGCGCTGAACCAGGAACCACAAGCACAGAGACCATCTTTTTCCAGGAACCGGAAACAACTTCTCGCTTTGTTCACACTCTCTCGCGAGGGAGGTGTTCTTTTTAAAGACCAGTGATGATCTTCCCCAGAAGGGTGAATCCATCCCTCTTAACATGTGCTAACTCCTCCCATAAAAACAAAATGCCTCACAGAGAGTTCTAGAACAACGGAAGCATCTCTTAAAGAAAGGGGATCTAGAGAAACAAGGTCTTCCAGAAAGGAAGTAGCGTGCTGAACACTAGGTTAGGTGACAGGGCTCGGCCACCTCGGGGGCTCGCCAGGCCTGAGGAAGCCGCCCGCGGTGTCCACGGGGCCCGGGACACTTACCTTACCGCACTGCTTACACCTCCCCTCCTGCCGCCGCCGATGCACCCAGTGGTGACGTACAAAATTCTGGAGGAAAACAGAATTACAATGACTAAAACATCGATATTGGCTTTTTAATATTGCAAGAGCATAAACTTCCTAACTCATCACCTAAGCCCACAAAAACAGATGTGTATTTGTGGATCGGTTTACTATTGATTTCCAGATCTGTCCCATGGGTAGATACCATTCATCATGTCCTCCCTCCGTGTTCATTCTTCCCAGTGGCAAGCGGCCATACTGGATCGCTGTCACCTGACTTTCTTACAAGCAAAACACTGTGCAGATTTGCGAACGTGCTACAGGACCCTGGGCTGGGAGGAAACAGAGGCAGGCGAGAGAAGTAGCCAAAGAGAAGTGAGCAGGAGGAGGAGAGAAGCTGCAACAACAATATCCAACTCAATGTGACAAATATTTGTTTAATGCTTTCTATATGGCAGGCGGAAACCCTGGTGGCATAGCGGTTAAGAGCTACGGCTGCTAATCAAAAGGTTGGTGGTTCAAATCCGCCAGGTGCTCCTTGGAAACTCTGTGGGGCAGTTCTACTCTGTCCTATAGGGTCGCTATGAGTCGGAATCTACTTGATGGCAACGGGTTTGGTTTTTTTTTTTTTTTGGATATGGCAGTCAGGCACCACAATAAACATGCTACTTAGAAAGAATTGGAGGAATTACATTCTTGGAAAGAAATTGATCCCCTGAGTCTGGGCAGAGAAAGTGAGGGGTTTTCACTTAATAAAGTGAAGGTAGAGGAAAGCTGAAGAAAAGAGCCATCAGACAAGAGGTGTGGGTATATCACTGCGGTCCTGCAATGACGCTGTGTAAACCGTCCTTGGACACCCTGGACTAGATCAGCTTCAAGGACTATCCTTGTCATGGGGCTGCATGAAACAGAGATTTCTTTTCCATCAAAACAGACAATTATTCCTGGGGCAGAATCAAACAGCTCCCATCACCACTAGCTCCTAGGATACCTTCAAGAGAGAAAGTTGTTGTTATGGGTTGATGTGTGTCCCCTGAAAAGATAGATTCAAGTCCTAACTCCTGCCCATCCCTACACCTATAAATGTGACTTCTTTTGGCAATAGGGTCTTTGAAGATGTTACGAGTTCACATGAGGTCATACTGGAGTAAGGTAGGTCCTGATCCAATATGAATGCTATCCTTATAAGAAGAGAAGAGACACAAGGACAGACAGACACAGAGGGAAGACGGAGGCAGAGACTGGAGAGATGCTGCCACGAGCCAAGGAATACCTGGGGCCATCAGGAGCTGGAAGAGGCAAGGAAGGATCTTCCCCTAGAGCCTTCAGAAAGAGCATGGTCCTGCAGACACCCTGAATTCAGACTACTAGCCTCCAGAACTGTGAGACAACACATTTCTGTTGTTTTAAGCCACCCAGTTTTGGGTGCATTGTTACGGCAGCCTTAAAGACTAATATAGTTGTCATGGGTTGAATTATGTCCCCCCAAAATATCTGTCAACTTGGCTAGGCCATGATTCCCAGTATTGTGTGACTGTCCACCACTCTGTCATCTAATATGAATTTCCTATGTGTTGTAAATCCTATCTCTATGATGTTAATGAGGTGCGATTAATGGCAGTTATGTTAATGAGGCAGGACTCAACCTACAAGATTAGGTTGCATCTTAAACTAATCTCTTTTGAGCTATAAAAGAGAGAAGCAAGCAGAGAGACATGGGGACCTCATACCACCAAGAAAGTAGAGTCAGGAGTACACATCCTTCGGACTCAAGGTCCCTGCACTGAGAAGCTTCTAGACCAGGGAAGATTGTTGACAAGGACCTTCCTCCAGAGCCGACAGAGAGAGAAAGCCTTCCCCTGAAGCTGTCACCCTGAATTCAGACTTCTAGCCTCCCATACTGTGAGAGAATAAATTCGTCTTTGTTAAAGCCATCCACTTGTGGTATTTCTGTTATAGCAGCACTAGATAACCAAGACAACAATGTGGTCAGGTAAAAGTCTATAACTTACATATACATCATTCCTCTTTGACCAACAGACCTAAAGTACTTCCTACATTTTACCTGAAACTAACACATCTATTGTAGACTCTGCCCCGGTCCGTATTTTGTCTCTAAAAGGCCCTTTAGTTATAGTCAGTCATTCAACAAATATTTATTAAATACCTACCGCATGCTGGGCACTGCTCTAAGTTAGAGACACAGAGAATAGATCAGTGTTGAGGGGAACAAAATGCTATAGTAAGGCATAACAAGCACCAGCGTTGTCATTGTTGTGTGCCCTCGAGTCAATTCTGACTTACAGCAACCCTATAGGACAGAGTAGAACTGCCCCATAGGGTTTCCTAGGCTGTAATCTTTATGGAGCCAGACTGCTAGGTCTTTTCTCCCATAGAGCCCTTGGTGGGTTCCAACTGCTGACCTTTCAGTTAGCGGCTGAGCATTTAACCATTGTGCCACCAAATGCCACCTCTATATCTTTTAATAATGTCAATTCAATTCAAATTAAAACTAAAAAGAGATTCTAGGGGAATAATGATCTTTTAACTATATAAGATACAAAGAAGCAAAATGGTGCCTCTACATTATTAATGTTATTGGTATCACTAAACTGAATACCTGAAAATGTTGACTTGGCAAATGTTGTGTTATACATATTTTTACAACAAGAAAAAAAAAAGTACTTCTAATTAGTGTCATTTTTTTCTTGCTTTTCCCACTGCCAAAGTTTAATAAAGCATAACTAGTGTCATTAAATTGTACATGTGAAGATGGCTGAAATGGCAAATGTGTTGTTACCTGTATTTTTACTACAATAAGTAATTAATTTTTTAAAAAAGAGACACCTGAATAATAAAAAGTTTAATCAAACAAAGACACAATTCCTATACTGTCCAAAGCTAATCATAATAGAGGACATCTATTGAATACTGTATACCACTTTCTAAATGCTTTGTGTGTAATAGGAACCCCGGCGGCACAATGGTTAAGTGCTTGGCTGTTGACTGAAAGGCTGGTGGTTCGAACCCACCAGCTGCTCCTTGGGAGAAAGACCTAACTATCTGCCTCCATAGAGATTACAGCCTAGGAAACCCTATGGGGCAGTTATACTTCATCACATGGGGTCACTATGAGTCAGAATCGACTAGATGGCACCTAACAATAATAACACTTCAATATGGCACGCCAATAAATGATTTCAATGACGGTCAATCATGAAATATTAACTGTACGAAAATGTCAGACATCATAAGGGATACGAAAATGTTTTATATAATTGCTGTTAACTCAGTAGAAGTCAAAGGAAAATATACATTATCATTGATGTTAGGGGAAATTCTCCGCTTATTGAGATTATGACTCATTTGTTGTTATTCTTGTTAGGTGCCGCTGAGTCGACTTTGACTCACAGCTATCCTACCTACAACAGAATGAAACACTGCCCTGTCCTGTGCCATCCTCACAATCGTTGCTACGTTTGAGCTCATTGTTGCAGTCAGTGTGTCGATCCATCTCATCAAGGGTCTTCCTCTTTTTCGCTGACCCTCTACTTTACCAAGCATGATGTCCTTCTCCAGGGACTGCTCCATGCTGATAACATGTTCAAAGTATGCGAGTCTCATCATCCTCACTTACAAGGGGCACTCTGGCTGTACTTCTTCCAAGACAGATTTGTTCATTCTTCTGGCAGTCCATGGTATATTCAATATTGTTAGACAACACCATAATTCAAAGGCATCAATTCTTCTTCAGTCTTCCTTATTCATTGTCCAGCTTTCGTATGCATATCATTTAGCTAGTGACAACTCTAATCATGAAAAGACTACACCAACAGTTTCCACAAATCAACACTTATTTAGAAATTAAAAGGCTGATTTGATGAATTATTTGTGCTGCAACTTACATAATTTGGCAATCACATTGATAATACTGTGTAATTTATTTAGGGAATGAAAGAGAATATGTTTTTAAATTGTTTACTTAAAGATTAATACATACGACTCTGCTGGTTGTTAGGTGCCATCAAGTCTATTTCAACTCATAGCAAACCCATGTGATGGGGCAGAACTGCCCCAGAGGGTTTCCGAGGCTGCTAGGCTGTAATCTTTAAGGGAGCAGATTGCCAGGTCTTTCTCCCGCAGAGCTGCTGTGTGGGTTTGAACTGCCAATCTTTAGGTTAGCAGCCAAGCCCCCAGTGAGGGGTCCATACATATGACTCTACCAGTTGTTAAATATTTTTAAAATCACTCTTTCTTAAGAAACAGACAGGAAGCTGAGGAAACGAAGGCACAGGTAGACAACGTAACTTAAACGAAAGCACTGCTATAGAAGAAACTGAGCAACCATCTCCCACCGACAACTCTGTGATTCATGATGTCAAACAGCCTTCTCTTCGAAGTTCTTCTTGGGCTTAATGGAAATTTCTTCTCCTGCTGTATAAATATAGTTCGAACAAAGTAAACACCCATAAATGTGTGTTGAACTGAATGGAATTCTCAACCTAATTTCTTTGAAAACTAAATCACAGTTACCATTTTTTGGATCATCAAATGCCTTTATTAAAAAAATATATATATATATATATATGTATTACTATAGAATCCTTCTGTTTTCTAATCCTTATTTTCCAAGCACTTTACTTTTACATGCTATTTTCTTTTGACCATTATTCATATCTGCCAAGTTGAACTCAAATTAGACTCGGGATCCTTATACTGCCAATCTGAGTGTTGATGCACAGCTGCTAAGATAGCAAAGCAAGGTTTCTAACACCATAACGTTTCAGAGTTCGTCAACACTCTCTGAGTTATCCACATACCGTCAAGCACTGGAGAAGAGAAAGGCTATTACTTCTGGGTGTTAAAATATTAGTGACGGGTCACTTCAGGGTTTATGTTCAGTATTGGTAGCTGAAGTGTACAACACAATTGCCCAATTATTTTCAAACAACCAATCCAATTCATAATATTATTCATAGAGAGTTTGAAAAGATCTTAGAAATTATTACTCAATCCATACAGCTTATTACTATGAAAACCGAGGTCCAGAACGATTCAATTTACAGGAGCTCATCAAATATTCATTTAAAAACTTCCGCGGGTCAGGCACGCGGTTACAGTGATGAACAATCCTTGCTCTAGATCCCTGTTATAGAGAAGCTCTCACCGCCTAGTGGAAAAGAAGCGGAAGCGTGACTGGAACCCAGGTCAAAGTAATTCTGAAGTGCTTGGTCTCTCATTTACATTAAGTAAACTACTTAACGTCTCTTAATTAAGACTCTCAAATGAGTTACAATCTGTCTTAAGTTTCATCTCCAAAATGTCTTCTCAGATCAAGAATTCTTCAACATTTTGGGAAAACGGATCCCTTTGAAAACTCATTCAGTCAATAGATGTTCACTGATTACCTACTGTGTGACCTGGCACAATGAGTTTGGAACAAATTGGCTGAATGACCTCCTAAAGCTTACACTAGAGGAGATAGACAACAAACAACAATCGAGTCATATGCACAAACAATTATGAAATACAAAGTCCTCTGGAGGGGCAGAACAAAGTGCTTTGATAAAGAACAACGTGCCACCTACCTACTTAAGGTGGTCATCCAGTTCGACCTCTGAGGGTGGGATATTTAAGCCAAGGTCTAACTATAAGGAAAAGCCAGCCATGTAACAAGATTTCCAGCACAGCAACCACATGCACGACTATCCAAAGATGAGGACTATCTTAGTGTGCCTTCAGGAACTGAAAGAAAGACCAGGCGGCAGCTGGAGAGGGCTGGAGAGGTAAGCAGGGTCCAGACAAGCAAGACTTTTCATGCCAAGGCAAGGGGTTTGGATTCGCTCTAAGTGCTATGGAAGCCACTGAAGACTTTTCAGTTGGATATTGACCTACTCTAATTTTCATTAAAAAAAAAAAAAAATCACTCTCTTGAACCATGGGTGGATTGAAGTGGGGAAAATTGAGGAAGCATGGAGAAGCTATTGCAGTCATCAAGGGTGCCTTAGACTAAGGCGTTGACAATGGAAATGGAGAAATATGGATAGATTTGAAATGCGTTTTATAAATAAAATGGACAGGACTTGCTAATGAATTAGATGTGCAGAGTGAGAGAAAAGAATCTATATGACCCGCCCCCAGTTTTCTCAATAGAGGAGCTAGATCAATAACCATCTCATTTTCTGAGATGCAAAAGTCTTGAGAAGATAGTTACTATGGGGATGGAAGTAAGAGTTTAGTGTTTGGCACGCCGTATTTCAGATGACTGTGATAGTTCTGATGGGCAGGTCAAATGGAACCTCAAGAAGCAGTCTGGACTGGGAATGTAAAGTTAGGAGCTGGCAGCTCAGATGCAGGACTGAAACCCAGGAGACTGGATGAGATCTTCCAACAAAGGGTGTGCAGAGAGGAGAGAACCTGGAGAGGACAAGCCCCAGGACTGTGCGAGGCTGTGGGGGTGAGCACTGGGAGAGAGTGGGAGGAGTCTCCGGTGCGGGAGGAGGGCGGTTAGGGAGAACGATGTCAGAAGCACAGAGAGCTGAGCGTCAAAGAAGGGCGGAATACTCAACATTTCGAACGTAGAGAGAATGAATTAGAAGAGATCAGAAAAATATCTAATGGGTTTGGCATCAAGGAGATAATGGGTGTTATTAAAAAGAGCAATTTCCGTGAAAGGGTAGAGTAGACACCAGGTCAGAACAGGTTAAAATGGCGAGGAGGTGACATTGCAAAAACAATTTAGACGGGCAGTTTGGCAGTGAATACAAAGCTGAGAGTTATGATCAGCAGTTAAAGGCACAGTTTGAAAGTCAAGGATTGTTTTGTTTGTTTTGAAGATGGAGGTATTGGATTGTCTGTGCTGATGGAAATAATCGAGAAAAAGGAAGAGACTGAAAAATGTAGGAAAGAAATGGAATACCAGGTCCTTGATAAGATTTTATTCACGCGTTAACAAGAAACTGATGTGGACTGGCGGGAAAGAAGGCAAATGAGGGCGTCCGAAACGCGTGCAGAGGGACTGGCTTCCAGAGGAGACAGGACGCAACACATGAAAACCGAGAAACCTCAACCAGAAAACACAATTATGCAAAACAAACAAGTACACACACACACACACACACACACACACACACACACAGTTGATCTTCGTCATTTGTGGATTCCACATTTGTGAATTCGCCTACTTGCTAAAATGTATTTGTCACCCCCAAATGCACCCTTCGCGGCCACCCGCAGACACGCGGAGCGGTGGACACCAGGTATGCACCCTTCGCGGCCACCCGCAGACATGCGGAGCGGTGGTAACCGGGTATGCACCCTTCGCGGCCACCCGCAGACACACGGAGCGGTGGAAACTGGGTGGCGTGATGTGCGGTTCCCAGCTGAGGGTGAGCAAGGCCACTCTCATGCAGTCGACAAGCGTCCTTCATGCAGTCTATCGAGCGCCAGGTTTTTCTCACTTTTGTGCTTTCTGTTGTGACTTCATTATTTAAAATGGCTCCCAAGCATAGTGCTAAAGTGCTGTCTAGTGTTCCTAGGCACAAGATGGCTGTGATGTGCTTTACTAAAAAAACAGGTATATTAGATAAGCTTTGTTCAGGCATGAGTTATAGTATTGGCCATGAGCTCAATGCTAGTGAATTGACAATATACATTAAATAAGGTGTCTTTAAACAGAAACTCATATAAAACAAGGTTGTGTTTGATCGATTGATAAAAATGTGACCAGAGGCTTGAGGAGTCTAACCCTGTATTTCCCTAAAAGCAACGGTTCTATAGCTCTATATGTACATCTATATCCATATCTACATCTATATCTACATCTATATCTATATCCATATCCACATCCACACCTAAATCTGTATCTTATCCACACACGCACAGAGTGCTCAGCCCCTGACCTTACAGTCCAGTAGACAGAAACAGATAAATAGGAAACTGGAATGCAGGGCAGGTGCTGTGATGTCAGTGTAGGTAGAGGTGATAATGTGAACACAGCTGCACGTAGACACACGTGTTAACTTTTATTTGGAGAAGACAAAGCAGGCAGAGGCTCCCAGCCTTCCTGTTACCCCGGGGGCCCTAACTCCAGGCCCAAAACTGCGCTCCCACATCAGCGTAATGAGAGCCTGCATTCACGGAGCCCACCCTCCTCCAAATGTGGTTACGTACCAGCTACACACCTCCGCCCAAACATCACCATCTTATATGAGCTCTCCCTAAGAGAACGTGCGGCAAATATAATTTTTTGCTAAGTATACTTTCTCCATTTCATTTACATTCCCAGTAAGATGATAGCTCAGCTCTGTTTAAATCTATAAGCAGAAATCTTCCCAGCTGACCCTGCTCCTCAAACCAGCTCCAGGTCAAACAAATAAAAGAGAAAGAGGAAGGACTCAGAGCAGGCTTCCTGGAAGAAGTGGAAACTAAAATGAGACCTAAAGGAATTACCCAGATGAAAGGGGGGTCAGGGACCTGACTATCATACGATTTATGATTTAACAGATGAAAACGCTGAGATGGGGAAAGGTGGGGTAGAAGCTCACTCCACCAGTCATGTCACACCAGGATTTGAGACCAGACGGTCTGGCCCCAGGGCTCACACTAACAACCAGAACCTGTGCTGCCCCTGAAGAGCTTCTACCTGCTTCAAATTTAAAATGGAATTCACACTGACCAAAAGAAAATAAAATGGTTATTTCTTCCTTACCCCTTCAATTCGACCACCACTCCCATCATCCCCTCCGCCTACCACTAACATCATAGCAACTGCCCTGCATTACAATTTCCTATTTCCCTGTCTGTCTCTCTACTGGACTGTAAGGTCAGGGGCTGAGCACTCCGTGTGTATGTGTGTGTGTGTGTGTGTGTGTGTGTGTGTGTGTGTGTGTGTGTGTGTGTGTCTTTTCACCCCACCCCCCTACTCTCTGGGTCACTCAACAAGACTTGGGTCCCCAATCCATTTCATGAGAAGAACAAAGTGCAGATATGCCTCTACAGTATGGAACACATCGGGAGTCTTGGAGATCTGATTGAAGCATTAACAAGAAACTGATGTGGAATGGCAGGAGGTAGAATTTATATTTTAACCTCTGATGACCCACCAAACCCATTGCCATTGAGTCGATTCTGACTCATCGTGACCCTATAGGACAGGGTAGAACTGCCGCATAGGGTTTCCAAGGCTGTAATCTTTACAGAAACAGACTGCCACATCTTTCTCCCTCAGAGCTCTGGTGGGTTTGAACCGCCAACCTTCTGGTTAGCAGCTGGGGGCTTTACCACTGCGCCACCAGGCTCCTTAATCTCTGGTGAATAGCTATGAATCCAGTGAGTCAATGGGATATAAGAAGTAGTGTTTGAAATAGAGCTCTGAATTACTCACTTCTCTTGGGGATCTTGAGGCCCCTTCTCGAAACGTTGGTTTACATCTGAAGTTAATCTGTCATTTAAAAAAGAAACGCATATTACTTTAGAGATAAGCACACAACTGGATTTAATTACCTGAAAAAGAAACAGTGACAGATACTGCAACTACAATGCAAAACCCACAAGAGCAACGAGCAAAGTTTCACCCTCTTCTTGGTCTCTGGAAATCACTGCATTAGATCAGCTACAGAGATCCCAGTATGTCCAGGCCAGATCGCCGCATTCTCGCCTATGAAATCAAAGGATCTTTAAACGATAATGCTCCTACACTACTCATTTGAGCAACTAGGATAAGAAAGAGGCAGAGGAACAGTATATGGCAGCTGAAGCCGTCTGGAGGGCTGTTTCAGATATTAAAAGTAGAAAAATATAAACTTGAGAAATTTTTTAACATCATGGTGATTCTTTGCCCCCCTCCTCCTCCAACAAAACACTCTTTATAAAAGCATTCATCACTGCCTTTCTCTCAGATGGGGATGCTTCCTGCTACACTTAAATCTTTTTTGCCTACTTGCTAATACAGAAGCCCTGGTGGCTCAGAGATTAACAGCACAGCTGCTAACCAAAAGGTTGGCAGTTCGAATCCACCAGTGGCTTCTTGGAAACCCTATGGGGCAGCTCTACTCTGTCCTATAGGGTTGCTATGAGTGGGAATTGACTCAAGGGCAAGGGGTCTGGTTTGGTTTCAATAATATAACGAAAAGAATGTAGGAATGAAAGTGGAAATGAGCAGGGTTGAGACAGCAGAGAAAATATTAAGACACAATGTTAGTAGCCATAGCTACAAAATATCAGTTGACACTGATGGTAATGTGGCGTGAAAGGAACTGAGTTACACAAGGCAGTTCAAGCACATGGTTAGGGCATAAAGGAGGAGGAGGTGTGAAGTGTGGAAGGAAGAGCACAAGGTGGGTGGGGAGTTTAAGCAGAAAACCGACTATTGGAGCCTTTCTCTTCCCCCAAATGACAGAGAAATGGGCTGTAGGGAATCTACTTCCTCTGGAGGAGAGACATCACAGTTGTCACCTCCAGCCCCACCCCCACATGAAAGCCACACAAGGAAGACACTGCCGGTGAGGGGCCTGAGAGCTGGCTCTGGCTGGGCTCTCGCCCACGCAGCCACTTCCAGAAGAGGGCAACGCGCAAACGTTTTAAAAACAAAGATTCTAAAGAGGTTTAAAAAAAGAAAGTTGCCATTGAGCCGACTCCGAGTTTTCAATGACTGGTTTTTCAGAAGTAGATCGCCAGGCCTTTCTTCTGTGGAACCTCCGGGTGGACTTGAACTGCCAACCTTTCAGTTAGCAGACAAACGCATTCATCATTTGCACCAACCAGAGACCTTTTTAAAGAGGTTAGGAATTTTCTTTTTCTTAAAGGGCACATCTTGTGGGAAGTCCCATAGGGGAACAACGACACACGTGCAGAAGACACAGAAAGGAAATCAGTGCACAACATGTTTGTCCTCTAATCTTATTACTCCTTATCCCAAAAGTCACCATCAGATGACATCAAATTTCACTTCACCAAATAGGAGAGAATGAACCTCAAACATTGTCTGTTATTAATCTCGTGAGAACGCTGGGCTTCCAGTTTGTTAAAAGGGCATTTGCTTTCTGAAAGCTGGCAGTGAGCACTGCCGAGCCTCCCAGGTCCTGGTCTGAGGAAGTCCAAACACTTACAGTGTAGCAACCACAGCAGCAGGTGGCGCTTTCTCACCTTTTCCAGCTGTTCGATGCAGGCGGTGTGGACAACGATCTTGCAGACGGCACACTTCCTCCTGAGAGCCGATTTCTACAACATCCAATTCAAAATACAAGAGAGGAATGTTAAGTCTGTGCTGAAGGGCCCGTGGTGTTAACGAGAGAATATGTAAATCAAACAGCATATGCAATCATTTACATTCATCAGCAAATCTAAAACTTCATCTTCAATATCCAATAAAGTGACAAACATCATCAACTGTCCTTTGACCCACAAGTAACTCCATAACCCCATTACTTGGGGCCACCTAGATCATCGCTTCAAAGTAGAACGATAATAATAATGTCGTTATTGTGTGACATCGAGTCGATTCCAACGCATAGCGACCCCACGTGACAGGGTGGAACTATCCCATGCGATTCTCTAGACTGTAATCTTCATGGAAGCACATCACAGGGTCTTTCTCCCATGGAGCCAATAGGTGGGTTTGAACCGCCAACCTTTAGGGTAGCAGCCAAGCTCTTAACCACTGTGCCGCCAGGGCCCCAATACTAATAGCTGCTATATATCAAGTATACAGTACGAACACTTCTGTTCATATAATAAGTTTTATTATTTCTAAGTTTCATAGCCTAACGATCATAGGTGTTATGAGCCTCCATTTTACAGGTGAGAAAACTGAGGCTCAGAGTGGTTCATTAATTCGCCCCAGATCACCCAGATAGTGAAGGGGCAGCAGGGCCAACACCCAAACTGGGGTGTAAATTCAGAGACAGCATTCTTTCCCAACTGCCTAAGTTGGAGTCTTCATCGCCAGGGGCCAGTCAGATTGGGCTTCCAGCCCAGCGCAAACCTACACTACAGCACTCAGGTTTCTGCCCAAATCTTCTGGAAAGCGGGAAGCCCAAGCTAAAGTTCACACCCACGAAATAATCCCACTCAGCAAAAAGGGAAATTCCTACTTGCTGATTTGAGAAGAAGATTAGGGAGGGGATGGACGCGTGCTCAGTAAGAAAACCTTTCAGTGAGCACATTACCGGGCCACCCGCTCTACAACGAAAATCGCGGAAGTTCCGAGAAAAGTCTGAAATCCTTCCGGTGGCAGGTATTAAACAGTAGGCACTGTCATGAGGCTGAGACACCATAAACAATAACAATGGCGGCAGCAGCCGCTAACGTGAATATGGTACTTACCAAGGGCCCGAGACTCTGACCAGCATTTACAAAGAGTGACTTATTTACTCCTCACGACCCTCAATTTACAGATGAGGAAACTGAGGCAGGGTAAGTGACATGCTCGAAGTCATACAATAATCAGTGCACAACAGAGCCAGCTCGTGTGGCTCCAGAGCTCAGGGTCGTGAGCATTACACAATTTGGCTTTCAAATATTCAGCCAACTGACAGTCAGTACCAGTTTAAATTCACAGTAGAAATACTCTTTAAGGTTTATCTTTTGTCCAGGAATGAAAAGCAAGCTGCAAGGAGAACACTACATGAAGGGTGGAACCTAAGCAGCGTGTGCTCAGGACCTCCCTGTACGGCACAGACTGGATGGAAGGTGTGCATGAGTGATCTGGAGGCTTGAGCACTGAAAGGAACTTATGTAGCTGAGCCAACAGGTCAGATGGTCTCTCAGAGCACCCAAGTGTGAAAGGGCGTGAATCCTGTTTTTGAGAAAGACACTAGCTTAGAGTGCTGGTAACCCTTCCCTTCTAATGAGTGGTTTTCCTCTGCTGGGGAATAACTTTTGAGCCAACTGTGGCAGGTAGATAGGAAGGAATAAGGTATTGCTGCTCCCAATGCAGAGCCCTGCTGGCGCAGTGGTTAAGAGCTTGGCTGCTAACCGAACGGTTGGCAGTTAATCCACCAGCTGCCCCTTGGAAGCCCTATGGGGCAGTTCTACTCTGTCCTATAAGGTTGTTGACTCAATGGCAACGGGTTTTGGTTGGCTCCCAGTGGAGACGGGAAGAACTGCAACCAACCACCCAACTTGGAAGGGACAGTATCCTGAAGGCGCCTGCTTCCATGATGGCACCGCTCCTTCAGCATGGTGTCACCACCACCACCGGGCACCTACCACCACAGAACTGCAGCAACAGAACCTGTAGAAGACCCCTGCCTGGCACTCTGTTAGCCGCTTGAGGAGGTGCCGTTACTCTTCTTTCCTCTTCCTGAGGAAAGTGCAGGGTCTGGAACATTAAATAACTTTGACGATCAACTGATTCTGCAGCTAACAAAGGGTAAGCGTCACCCAGCACCTAGATACACCACTGAGAAGGATCTCTCTCTATGGCTGAAAAGTAAAAAGGAGGAGGAAGAGGAGGAAACGAAGGAGAGGCGGCAGTTGTAGCAGTAGGGCAATCGAAGCAACAGTAATAAAACCCTGGTTTTCAACTGGACCAACAAGCAGCACCATGATAGAGGAGAAAAGACTGCCGTGGCCGAGGATTTCATTTTACTTGTATTCACAATCAACGCTCATGACAGGAGCAGTCAAGAAATCAAACGACATATTGCATTGGGCACATCTGCTGCAAAAGACCTTTTCAAAGTGTTAAAAAAAACAAAGATGTCACTTTGCAGACTAAGGTGCACCTGATCCAAGCCACGGTATTTTCAATTGCCTCATATGCATGCGAAAGCTGGACAATGAATGAGGAATATCAAAGAAGAACTGATGCACTTGAATGACGGTGTTGGCAAAGAATATTCAAATACCATGGGCCGCCAGAAGAATGAAAAAGTCCGTCCTGAAGGAAGTACAGCCAGAGTGTCAAGGATGGCGAGACTTTGTCTCACATACTTTGGACATGTTATCAGGAGGGACCAGTCCCTGGAGAAGGACATCATACTTAGTAAGATAGAGAGTCAGCGAAAAAGAGGAAGAACCTCAACAAGATGGACTGACACAGTGGCTCCAACAATGGGTTCAAACATAGCAACAATTGTGAGGATGGTGCAGGACTGGGCAGTGTTTTGTTCTGTTGTACATAGGATCACTATGAGTCAGAACTGACTCAACAGCTCCTAACAACAACAACAACAGCTTGCAGATGTTCATGAACAGAGTCCCCATAAGCAAATTCTTGTTGTTCTCCGGGTCCCCCTGGAAGTCCCGGTTTCCATCATTGCTTTAGCACCACCCGCAGGGACTGCACCGAGTTATGTTGCTCTTCAGGGTTGTAGGGACGGTGAAGAAACTGGAGTTGATTGGGGTCTACTTTTCATTATCCACAACTCCCCTAGTAGATCACACTGCAGACAAGCAACGTACATTTCAGGTGACCCCTAAGGGCTATGATTTAAGGATGTCTAGAAGGCCTACTTCCTCTACAGTTCCCCCTGCCCTGGCCTCACTCGGTGCCTGGCCATGTGCTCTGCGTTACGCTCCGCAGAGCTCCAAGGACTCTGTAACTCTCCCAGAAGTCACCAAGGATGGCAGGAAGGAGAGCACCCCGTGGGCTCAGGAACCCACGTGCACTTACTGAACCAGAGCAGCTCTTCCCTTCTTCCATTTATGTTTCGTGATTCTGAGTCAATATTTCTTTTGAACAAGGCTTCTGGGTTAGATGCGTTTGAAAACCCCTGAGTTAAGCTATGTCATCTCTCAGCTTCCTGGGACAACACATAATAGACAAGCTGCATTATCCGTATGGAATAATCCCAGCACAGGGTTCTCCAGACGATAATACACAAAGTGCCTTAAACGATGTCAGTTTTATTTAAGCAATATGGATTAAGCTAGATAGCGATCCACAGCTGCTGTTGAGCTGACTGACTCGTGGTGACTTGTGTAGAGCAGAATGAAACACTGTCTCGTCCTGCTCATCGTAGCGGGCTCGAGTTCACTGTAGCGGCTGTCGTGTCAATGCATCTCACCCAGGTTCTCCCTTGCCCTCCCTGACCCTTTACTTCACCAAACATGACATCCTCCTCCAGTGACTGACCCCTCCTGATGAAGTGCCCAAAGCTGAAGAGTCACAAATGTTCTGTTGTGATCCTAAGGTTTTCATTGGCTAATTTTTGGAAGTAGATCACCAGGCCTTTCTTCTTAGTCTGTCTTAGTCTGGAAGCTCTGCTGAAACCTGTTCACCATGGGTAACTCTGCTAGTATGTGAAATGCCAGGGGCGTAGCTTCCAGCGTCATAGCAACACATTAAGCCAGTTCAGTCTGACAGTCTGGCAGATGGGTGGATTACGAAAAACCCTCAAAAAATATATTATATAGTTCTGTGCCTTTGCAGGCAGACTATATAGACCACGGTCTTAGTTTTCATCATACACATTGCCACACGATGCATTGTACTAGAAAGAACTCAGTCATTTCTGTTTCCATCTTTCGGCCAGACTGGACGTCCTCCAGTGCCACTGGGCTTTCTTTGGTTGCCCTCGGTTTCCTGAATGACAGATTCTGGATTGTTGACAGTCTGAGAAATTAGATATTCAAGGCTTACGATCAGATGCAAAATTAAGTGAATAAATTCTGAGTAAAGCCCTAAGGTCTTTAGTAGTAAAATACAAGGATTTTACTTCCTCAATTAATGAAAACAGTTTCCATGAATCGGAAGTCTTCACTGTTGAAATCTTGGTTCATGACTATGTTTCCATTGGTTAAAGTCATTTGGAGGGACCAGTCACTGGAGAAGGACATCATGCTTAGTAAAGTGGAGGGTCAGTGCAAAAGAGGAAGACCCTCAACGAGATGGAGTAACACAGTGGCTGCAACAGTGGGCTCAGGCATAGCAGCGATTGTGAGGGTGGCGCAGGACCGGGCAGTGTTTCATTCTGTTGTACATGGGGTCGCTGTGAGTCGGAACTGACTCGACAGCACCTAACAACGACAACAACATCTGGAGTAGCTGGATAATAAACTTCTGGGCAGAAATGGCTCAAAACATATAGAATTTTGTGCTGGGTTATTTTACAATTTTTATTGTAAAGATTTAAGCTAGACACAAAGGCCAAAGGCAGGGATCAGGAAATTCTGAGCACTCTATTCACTTTTCCCCACGAGTCTTATTTAAAGTCAATACTTCCTTCACGATGAAAAGCGCTGATAGATTAAAACAAGAAAAGCCACTAAAAACC